CCATTCCCAACCTCCCAAATCCTGGGAATTCCCACCCCAAAGACCCCAAATCCCCATTCCCAAACCCCCAAATCCTGGGAATTCCCACCCCAAAGACCCCAAATTTCCATTCCCAACCTCCCAAATCTTGGGAATTCCCACCCCAAAGACCCCAAATCCCGGGAATTCCCACCCCAAAGACCCCAAATCCCGGGAATTCCCGTTCCCAGCACCCCCCCCTCACCTTCTGCTTGGGAGCCACCCTGGCGAAGACCCGGATGTGGGGGATGAGCCGGAGCAGCCGATCCCGATCCCGCAGCCGGAGCTGCTCCAGCCCCTCCCCCGTCAGGCACAGCTCGAAGGGATCCGTGAGATCCCGCAGGGAATTCGGGAACGCCGGGAGAGCCACGGAGCCGTCCCGGGACCGCCACTGCCACTGCTGCCCTGTGGGAATGTGGGAGTTCTGTGACAACGGCAATGGGAATTCCAGGATGGGGTGGGGGGATCCATTCCCAACATTCCCAGTCCAGGGGGTGAACGATTCCAACTCGAATCCCCATCACCGTTCCCAGCTCCCCCCTTTAAATCCTGGAATCCCAGACCTCCATCCCCCCCCCTCCCATTCCCGTTATTCCCGACATTCCCGGTACCGGGGCGCTCCGGGGGCTGCAGGATCAGGATTTTCTCTTTCTGCAGGAAATGCAGCTCCCGTGCCACGTGGCAGGCGGTCAGAGGGCTGTCCCCTGTGATCATCACCACCTGCAATTTTGGGAGTTTTCAGCGATTCCCCCAAAAAAATTCCAGCCCAAATTTATAGGGCTAGGAAACCTCCCTCCCTCCCCGGATTGATACAGGGAATGTTCCCAAATCCAGAGGGTTGAAATCGGGATTTTCCACGTTTTCCACCTGGAATTTCCCAGGTTTTCAGCCTTGTGTTTTCCCTATTTTCTATTTGGAATTCTCCCTCTTTTCATCCTGGAATTTTCCAGGTTTTCAGCCTTGAATTTCCCTGTTTCTCACCTGGAATTTTCACAGTTTTTTAGCCTTGGATTTCCCTCATTTTCCACTTTAACTTTTCCTGGTTTTTAGTCTGAAATTTACCAGTTTTCAGCCTCCCATTTCCCTAATTTCCACCTGGAATTTTCCCAGTTTTCAGTCTGGAATTTTCCCAGTTTTCAGCCTTGCATATTCCCCACTTTCCTCTTGGAATTTTCCTGGTTTCCAGCCTGGAACTTCACAATTTTCAGCCTCAGTTATTCCCCGGAAATTTCTGAGTTTTCCACCTGGATTTTCCCAGTTTTCTGCCTGAAATTCCTCCTGTTTCTAGTCTGGAACTTTCCTTGTTTACAGCCTGGAATTTCCCAATTTTCAGACTGCATTTCTCCCTGTTTGCCATTTGGAATTTTCCCCTCTTTTCAGCCTGAGATCTTCCCCATTTTCCCCCATAGGAATTTTCCAATTTTCAACCTGGAATTTCCCCATTTTCCAACCTGCAAATTCCCAATTTCCCCCTCCCACCCCCTCTGGCCATTCCCCCCCATTTCCCACCCTCCCCAAAATCTGGGAATTCCCGCAATTCCCGGGATTCCTCACACGGTGGGAAGCGCTCTGGATCTCTCGGATCACGGCCTTGGAATCGGCTTTGAGGGGGGAGGAGACCACGATGAATCCCACAAATCTCAGGTCACATTCCAGGGATTCCCTCTTCATCTCCCGCACCTTTTTCCATGGAAAAATCCTGGATTCAGAATTCCCAAATCCCTTAAAAAGTCAAATCCCTCCTCCCAGCGCTGATTCCTGGGATTTGGAGAATCCCTGCAATGAGTTTAGTGCTCGTAAAAGGTTGGAGTGATCCCGAATTCCCAAAAGAAAAGGAATTTTCCTTGGAGAAATTCCTTTGGGATGCTCTGGAATGGGAATTTCCTTGGAAAAACTCCCTCAAAACCCCAAATTCCACCCCCAAAAAACCTCTCCTTTTCCCAACCCCTCTCCCAGTGATTCCCAGGCCTGGAATTCCAGGATTTTTCCATTTTTTTTCACCTGCTGGTGGCTCAGGGCTCCCAGTTCTTTGTAGCCCAGGGCCAGGACCCGTGCGCCCTCGTGGGCGAATTCCCGATGGATCTCGTGGTAGTTGCTGGGACATTGGGATAACTGGAAAAAAAAAATACGGAAAACATTCCATGAGTGAAGAATCTGAGGGAATTCCAAAAGGTTTTGGTGGTAAAGTGGGAAAAATGAGGAGATCTGGGGGGAAAGGGAGGCAGGGATTCGGGAGAATCGGGGTGGAATTTGAGGGAATTTGGATTAGTTTGGGATAGTTCCATTGGAATTCACAGTTCCCGCTCATTTCCATCTCCCTGATCTCCCAGCATTCCCAGATTCCCATTTTTTCCTTGGAATTTTGCCCTCACAAGCTCTGGGCCCGTTTTTCCCTGGAATTTGCCCTCACCACAAAGCCTGGGCAGCCATTTTGAGCTCTTGCCATTCCCAGATCCCATTTTTTCTGTGGCATGTCCCTGAAATTCTCCCTCACCACAAACTTTGGGGAGCTCAAACATTCTCAAATCCCCATTTTTTCCTGGAATTTCCCTCACAAGCTCTGGGCCCATTTTTTAATGGAATTTCCCCTCACCACAGGCTCTGGGCCTGTTCTTCCCCTCAGCGCAGAGCGGCCATTTTGAGCTCCCAGCATTCCCAAATTCCCATTTTCCCCCCCTTTTTTCCCGGAATTTCCCCCCTCACCACAGCCTGCAGAGTCTTGGGAGCATTCCCAGATTCCCAAATCCCTATTTTTCCCTGGAATTTCCCTTTACCATGAGCTCTGAGGCAATTTTTC